TGCACTGCACAGACAAGACCACACACCCACTCAGACTGCAATACAATCTCTCTCTCTCTCTCTCTCTCTCTCTCTCTCTCTCTCTCCAACTTACTCATCCTTCATCTTCTGGATCTTCCCTGGATCAGTCTCGTGCATATTTTTCTTGAACTGCTGCCTCACCATATCGACAACAAGCTTTGTATTGTGTTGCTGCAACAACAAACCTCATTCAATTTCCTGTAGTAAGTTTCTAAAGAGTGCCAATATCTAATCCATCAACACTTAAAATTACTGAGCACACACATTCAGATTAGTAGCGACTTTCTGCTTATCCTTTCCGGAATATACATATCTACTTTAGCGGGGTATCCCATATATGATAGAAAGTTCACTATTTTAACAAACCTCATTCAATTTCCTGTATTAAGTTTCTAAAGAGTGCCAATATCTAATCCATCAACAATTAAAATTACTGAGCACACACATTCAGATTAGTAGAGACTTTCTGCTTTTCTTTTCCGGAATATACATATCTACTTTAGCTGGGTATTCCATATATGATAGAAAACTCACTAAAAATAGTGATACACATGCACACTTCATTTTCAAGCCATTCACATATTCTTATTTACTTCACATGAAGAACACAAAGATCACAAAACAAAATCAACAACATAATATGTATAACATGACCATTTAACAAAATAACATTCACAAGAGATGATCCAATCAGTACGCAAATATGCAACAAATCTCATCTGTGCCTACAAACAGCCAGAACGAGTCCACAAGTTCTAGCATCATGGGTATGTGAAGTCTCTCATGCACCCCATAACCCACATACTTCAAGGAGAAGGAAATGGGATGAGACTTAAAGGGGAAAACAAAATTTCTAGCACGTAGTAAACTATTTTATAGATAACAAGGTCCTGTTCGACATTTGAACAAGGAGAAAGTTTAGTCAAACACATGAAGAACAGAAATTACCAATTGAGATGCATGGGAAATGTAACTAGGAAAAATAGATGACCAGCCAGGAGTTAAGACTCCCCCTCATGAACGGGCCATAGTAATGGAAAATGGGTAGCCATAAGGAGAAATTTCTAATGTATAATTTCTAAGTTATTTATGTGTAAGAAGAAAAACTAATAGCTAAAAAATCCTTTATGTTTTCCTGGGATAACCTGCAAAGGGAATTTGAAGCAATTTTGTGTTAAAACTCAAAAACATATTGGACACTGGCAGTTTACACATTCACCAATCCCGAATGTGACAGTCTAAGTGATCCCAATATCCAGCACCTAAAAATACATTGAAAATCTCCCCCTCTTTGAAAGGTGAGGCTGTGTGGAATTCAAGACGATTAAATAAGAAATAAAGAAATAATAAATAATAAAAAATTTCTTTTTTTCTTTATTATTGAATCAAAATTTTACTTACAAGTGATACAATATACTGCTGTAAACAGAAAATAAAACCCTAAATACAACCCAAGACCTTTCTTTTTACTGGCAAAAACCAACCTTTTACTATCAATTTAAGTAAAAATAATGATCCTGAAAAATCAGAATAAACAAGCAAATAAGACTAAAAAACAAAACCAAATAGCTGGAAAGACTTCTTGGATTATGCTCAACGTCACCCCCATAGAACTTAGTACACCCCACACCCGATTTCCTGACAGATGGCACACTTCAATCCTATTGGTCTTACTGAATTTTCAAAGCCGGGAAACTTTCCACAAGCAATACCTTTTAAACTAGGGTTTTAGAGAGCATAAAAGACAATTAGGATTTTGTTAGAACCCCTTAGGAACAAATTAGGGCATGCCTCAAAAGCGCGGCTCTTTCTAGGCTAGGCTTACCCCTCTCTACAATGAAACCTTATTAGGGTTCACATGCTACCCCCTTTTAATTTATTATAAGGTGGTGTGCCACCTAGAGAGCAAGGAAGGAGAGAGATAATACTAGAGATGAGAAAGAAAGAGAATTGGAGGCGTGAAGGAGAGTGAGTTAGGAAAGAGAGGCTCCAATTGTGTCTTATGAGGAGTGGGGTTCACCTCCTTATACAAGCCTCAAGACCCCCTAGGTATGCCTATCCAATGACTTATTTGACCAAAGAGGAATTTAGGAAATCTGTGAGGTGAGAGAAAAAATTTGAGCCACCTACCCCACAAATCAGCCATTATGATTTAGGGAGGCATATTAGGAACTTTATCCCCTTACTATTTGATGGATCGGTTTGAGATTCGCCAAACCGCCCTATAGTGGAAGCTCCCTGGGGTTAGGATCGGCATCTGTACAATGAACAAGACAAGGAGCGAGATCCTTAGGTGTATGGGAACGAGATCCAATGTCAACGGGTTCGATGTTTTCACTAGCAAGAATCTATGCTCCACTATACAGAAAAAGAGGTTGTAAGTAGAGCTAGTACAAAAGGGCCGTCACTTGGTGTGACGGTAAAAAGCTCGGGTAGCCAACGCAAGAGCACGGGTTCGAGTCCTGAGAATGGCGGCCACTTGGTGCATAAACCAAAGGTAGGACTGTTTGCACACCCCTCTCGGGACCCTGCTTAGGCGGGAACAGCACCGAGTTACGACCTTTTATCCCCTAATTATTTGACTCAAATCCACTTCTAGTCGAATTGGGATAAGACCAATTTAAAAACCTAGAACTTCCGTATTTATCTCTAATAGTAGGAAGTCAAAATATCCAAACTAACTCCTATCAAAAAAAAAAGGCCATAGACTATATTTAAAAGATTATCTTACTAACTAAAAACATATTTTAATTAAAACAACATTTAAATTAAAAAGCGGGGAGAGTGAATCTTGTTTTAATTGTGCTCTCTCTTGGTATTCTTTTGAGATTGACCTTGGGGTATATATGCATTATCCTCACAAGAGAGTGTGCAACTCTACCTAGTATTATACTGCCTTTTGGTAACTTTATTTTTTATTGACTTTTAGGTGTTCCTTATGGTCAAAGTGCTCTTTGAATCATTTCTATTAACTTGGATATTTTTTATCCTAATGAATTAGAATACTTTATCCAGTGTCTTAGATTTTCAACATAAAAGTTTTGGGTTTTTCGTATATTAAGGATTTTCATAGACCCCCAACTTAAGATTGACCTGAGGAGATGGATTTAGTTCTCAAGGAGACATTGTCGAGCATATAGGCATGGATTGGGACTGCACTTCCCTAGAGGTTATCCATGATTGAGGAACTTTCCGATCTACATCTCTCTAGATGATTACTCTTCCACCACATGTAAGGGATGCTAATGCTGCACCAGATGCACTGTACAACGGTGGAGTAAATTTTGAATCCTTTTGCATGGAGGGGGCTATGCTTAGTCACAAAAGATGTGGCCTGGACATCTACTTACGAGCAGCTTTGCTTCATTTCTTTGTTGTTTGCTTTCTGCAATTATATATTACCAATAAAAATAAGACATTCAGTAGTGACATGGGGCAACAGAAACTCAGTGTATTAGTCGTTTTGTTAGATGATATGAACTGGTTGGACATGCAACAAATACATATATATGGATGAATTTCGACTTGTAAATTACTTATTTTGTCATTTCTTTAACATATGGAATTATTGTTGATATAAGATAGAGGATTTTCTTCCCTTCTTTGTCTTACATACTAAGGAATGAAGGGTTATCCTGTGCCATCTAGTGGGTGTCCTTGAGAATCTACTTCAACTGTACGTCATGGATAATGTTTTGTAGAACGAGCACCCTGATAGAGAAGCTACCCGTCATTCCCTATTTGGGTCCTCTTTGGTGTCATATGAGACTTTGGAGGGATTTATTCTATTGTTGTTTTGCTTAGTTTCTTGATTGAAGTTGGGGGAAGGAAGGATGCTTGTACTAGGAGGTTGGAGGCTGCAAATTGTGGATAGATGTTGTTTGAAAATTTATATGAATTTCCTTCTTTTGAAGTCAAATACCTTCAATATGCAAAGTTAAACATTGTTCAGGCATTGAGTAGGGGTAACATATTTTGGGACACCTTCATTTCTGCAATCAAATCTACTCCATTGTATGCTTCTATATGATCCTCTCACTAAAATTTCTGGTTGTCATCGCTTTGTTGTGCTTTTCTCTTTCATTGTTCATTACATCAAGGGTAACAAGTCCTTTCAGTTTTGCTGACTTTTTCCAATTTCCTGAATCCTGTCGTCTTGTAACAAATCTTGTTTCACATCCACTGCTTCAATTTTATGTATCCCCAATTTCGTTTCTGCACTCTTCTGGTTCTCTCCAAACCCATGTAAAAAGTATGAGCTTGTATAGATAGCTTGCTTAGGTATGTAGATATCTTACAACTGCACTCATATAGATATCATCATGCATAAGGCAGTATACGCATGTTTTCTATGCATGTATTTAAATATGCCCATTCATGGATATGCATTCATTCACACATAATTTCAGATTTTTATGTCAATTTGTATGTATGTGCCTACATAATTTTGGATGTTTGTAAATTCTCTTACGATGTAAAAGGTTGAATGTTTGTCAATTGCTTTTTCCTTTTTGTGTTGTCTAAAAATCATAGAAAATGAAAGATTATATGGTGGGGATAATAGGATGCCTCTTGGCAATTACACGGCATAGTCGAGGAGATCAAGGGGCTTAGCCTTTTAGTGGGTGCTCAGGAATTTTATCAAGTGCCTAGGGATGCAAATCCAGTAGCAGATGTCATAACCAATAGTGTATTGATGAAGGATAATGGTGTCTCCAAAAATAAGCATCCCCGTTACGACATTGTTTTTTACATGCATGAGCAGGACATGTATACATATACGTATATAAAAATATTGTATAATGCTCAGAAATGTGTTCTATAAATTTACAGACCATATACATTGATATTACGTAATAAATCATGCCTACACACACAATACATATTGCATGCCTGGGACTATAGACATATAGAAGTTTTGGATATCATATAAACTGTTTATATTACGTGCAACGCAGACCCAGTACAACACATGTTAGAAGGTGCAAGTTGGTGCAATTAGAAGGCTCAACAAGTGCCAGGCATAGGTCCAAAAGGACATGGTTGGAAGTATTGAGAAAAGATATATAACTTATAAGACAAGTATGTATGCGTTAGCCACTAGATTTTTAATGTTTTTTATAACAATGATCTATATTATAGTATATATATGGTCAAAACGTCGATCCAGC